AGTGGTGGGGCTTGAAGAGAGCTATTGTCATCTCGTGCTTCTGAGCTGTTCCCAGAATTCTCTTTTCCTTCACTTCTCTCAGGTAAATAGTGTATTTCTTTTGGCTTTTGGCCATATGAAGATATTGAGACACAGCTTGTGGGATTAGGAGAATTGATAGTGCCTGAAATAGACTCTTGGAAGCATGGATAAGAAATTCTTTTTACAGTAGAGGAGATAGAGAAGGAATTAAATGCTTGAAGACCAATATGCTAATTAAGGAAGTCTACCCTGTGGATTTTTAATAACACCACCTCTATAACAATTTCCCAGAAATTGTTCAAGTTTTACTGCTTTCTGAGTAATATTCTTTAGAAACAGTAAAAATTGCACAATTGCAAGTTTTTGTTTTAAAAAATGCATAGCGGTTTGGTGCTCTGAAGATTCTGGCATACGTCAAGTCATTCTTGGCAGCTTTACTGATAAATATTTCTCTAGCAGAAATAAATAAGGTGGTATTTGTTGTGGATAAAGACAGTTTTAACATGCTAGCTTTTGCAGGGAGGCTGAGAAAGGTGAGTTTTTTGGGGGAGGTGTTTTGTTGTTTGGTTTTTTCTCATTGATTTCAATAGGAATTAGTCTGGACCCAGATAAAATTGCAAGCTAAATTTTGAAATTACATATGGCTTTAATAGTTCATAATTAAACAAAATGCAAATCCAAACATGCAGTGAGTTTGTGTATAAATGTAAGTAGATATCCATAAATATATGTTTGTATTAATATATATTTATACATTTAGATATAGATACACTAATTAGTAATACTGTAGCAGGCACAGGTACTTTGTCATGTGTTTTACTAAACACACTGTAGTTGTTTGTTGAGTGAAATGAAGGACAAGGGAATGGCCACTGCATAATGTTTATAATTCCAATGTGACTTTTGGTTGATGATTAATAGACAGCTCCTTAAGAAGCTGCTTTCTTTAAATATTTGAAGTTCTTCAGGCCTGTGATATTAGCCCATACTTAGCTTTCTCCATGCCAGTACAGATTGCCACTCAAAATAAATTATGTGCATATGCACACATGCATGGAAATATACAGGCATATACAGTAAACTAATGCAGAGTAATCTTCAAGTCCTAGGGAAGAGAATATTAAATACACTATTAACTTCAATTTTATAATGTTTGTGCTAACTTCTTCACAGGTGATGAATTGGCTGTAGCTTATTTGTCATAGTTCTGTTTCTTAACACTACAGTAACCTGAAATGCATATTAGGATAGCTCTTATATCCTGTAACTGTGTGTATATATATATACACACATGTATATATATGTTTTCTTGATTTTAAGTAACCAATTGAATCATAGATAAGCCCTCAAAGTTAGTGAAGGTAGAGCAAAGCTGTGAGTTCAGTATGCAGTTGATATTCTGAGCAATTGCATATATAGGCAGGATTTCCTTAAAAACATTAAAGATATTAATATAGAACAATGAATCAATAATTTTGTCTTAGCGATTTGATAAATGAATGATCTGTCTTTCTTTTGAGAGGTAAGATAGAGGGGAAGCTGAAGGGCATGGTAGTTTATTTTGCTATATCCATTCTTGGATTATCCCCAGTTTTCATTTTTTTTGCCTAGAGGCTGCTATTGTGAATTGAGTGCAAGAGGAAAAGAGACCTGGAAAAGTAGTGTTTTCCTGTTCCAGGTGATTTTCAAGAAGAAAACATGAGTTTTCTGAGTTGATGATGAACATTTCCATTTCTTAGCAGTTGGTGACATAGCACTCCTTTCACTAAGGTCACTCATGAGTGATTCCTGGCTGAAGCATATCAAAGGGAAGCTAAAAGATAGCATTGCTTAGTTTGAAGTTATGTAGTCATCTTAAACTTCAGATGTATACATCTGAATTTTGCTTGGACTGGGTAGACTGTTGTGCTTCCAAAAACTTTTAAATTAGGCTGAAGAGAAAAACATCATATCAAAACTATCCAGTGATGACCTTTGAGAGAGGCTCTAAGGCTCTTTGGGCTTTATTTGTTTTTCTTTTTCGTACTGATCACTTGAGATAGCGTTACAAGTTTGAAAATACTATTCATAAATAAAAGATGCTTGTCCTAGAAATTTAATCAAAACATTATTCCAAATTGTGACATAAACTCCCACAGGAAATAAAGCCCTTTAAAAACTTCAATGTTTTTCCTAAAATAACTATGCTGCTTTGATTTTGCTTTTGCTTTTATCACAGTAACATGTAATATGTTATTTAAGGAAAAGGATCTGCTCAAGACCTTTAGCATAATGGCAGTTAGCAGACTTTAGATAGAAGTATCTCTCTCCTCTTGCTTTTCCCAATTTCACCCCACTCTGTCTTCTCAACTCCCAGAAATCAATATAGAAAGCTTTTAATGTGTAATTGTTGTTTGCAATTAACTGCTGAAATCGGAGCACCGTATTCTTTAGGCATGAAAGAGGATTGTTTACTCATATTCCGTGTCTCAAAAAAAAAAAAAAGTTTTTATTATCAGAAGATATCAAAAGCTGGGTAAAGAAATTCTGTATGATCTTCAAATGGGAGAAACAATAGAAGTTGGTGGAAGTCACTGCCTTCTCTCAGGGCTAATCAGACTGTTGTGCCCTTCTAGCCTATTGCAATCCCAGTTAAGTGCTTAGTTTTGCAAGATACTGCCTGAAGTAGTTCTTATATTTCTCATCTCAACCTACTTGTTTGGTACGGTGGAGTAGAAATAAAATTTCAGAAAGGGCAGGATGCAGAATTTTCTAATTCCTGTTTACTCGGCATAAGGTCAGCTAAATTTCCCTTTGGACTCTTTCTGGTGCTATGTGGGCTAGTAACTTCTATAGGGAAACTTCCTAAATGTCCATGTGTGTTTAGAGATACTTTTTTTTCCCCTCTAACCAGCAACAAGAGCAATGTAGTATAAACTATGCATACTTCAAAGCTTTAGGCAGAATTTCCATTCCCAGTAATATTAGCATTTTGTGTATAAATATATGCAAAATATAGATGTTTGTACATCTGTAATCTATATCTGTGTATGTATAAGGTGTCCATTTTCTCCAGAAAACAATTGTAATTATTTTTCAGTAATACCTGCTTTAGAACTACATTGACAAAGTAAGTTTTGCTGTTATTGAGCTAATTTGCCTCTTTTATACTTAAGCTAAACCTGTTTTTTCAGTGACTATGCAAGTTAAAATGTAGTAGTTCTCCATTCTCATCTTCTAACAAATATGTCAGAGCAACGTTTAGACTTTAAAGATTTTAGGCTATTGTGACATTTTATATGTTCTGCAACTAAATTTAGAGTACCATTACCATGTTTTGTTTAATTATTTCTTATTTAGTTTTTCTCTGTTTCATTTTGTAGAAATTTACAAGAAGTGCAAAAGCATTGCTTTTAAGTAATTGTCAGATTATTGTATATACCAATAATAAGCAGGTGTCTCAAAGTAGTTAGATGAATGTACTATTTTTGTATATAGAAATAGATCTTAATTTGTGTAATCTTTTTTATTATTACTTGTAAATTTTAGAATTATGAAAAGGCAAGTTGTGAAATGCCACAGAAACTTTGCTTATGCATCTTCAAACTTGGTTAATATTTTCTGATTCTGTCTTTTTGTGTAAGTTCCCAGTAGCAGTTGTAAAACACAGCTAATTGATACCTTCCTTTTCCTAATTGTTTAATGTGGCTTTGTCTCTTTATTGCATGCTTTTCAAACTCATCCCAGAGATAAACCTGTCAATTTTTCTAAGGTGTTATAGAAGAGAAGCACTGTGCTGATCAGGACAGATATTGATCTGCTTTGTCACAACAGTGGTAGGAGAAGGGTTAGTGTGATCTTCATTCTACAGATGTAAATAAGAGGTATAGAGTTCGGAGAAATAATTTTCTTCTCAATGTTCAATGTGAGAAGACTAAAAAGGGTGGTTTTTTCCTGAAATATTTAGCGCATGTAGCTCTTTGAAAGCAGAGACTGTCTCTGAGTTTGCTACTTGTGTGAATCTCAAATTAGGCACCACAAAATGAATTCAGGAATTAAGAACTTTTCATCAGGGAAGAGAAAAGAAGCAAAATATTTAATTTCCTCAATTGTGAGACCCAGTTTTCCTTTAAGTATGTAATTCTCTTTACATCTTCTAAATTCTGCAAGGAACAACATAGAACTTCTATAAACAAATAACCTCTTAATTAGTCATAAACATCACTGATTGGCACTGGATGAGGTATGGATTTTGTCAGAAAAATGGTTTTGAAACTTAGACAGCTATGGTTTATTATCGCAAAATGATAGAATTTGAATTGCACAGGTAGTCTTACTCTTGCACTTTTTTTTGTATGGCTTTGCAAAATTTGCAAGAATTGCAGTTTTCTCTTAAATTTCCTAGAGCTTAAGTAAAATACTTAAGCAAAACAACAGATTCTGTTACGTGTTAGGATGATGACCTTCACATGATTCATCAGCCAAGTTGGAGTCTTTTGATCAACTATACAGATTGTTCTTGGTTTAACAAAGTTAATGAAAGTCATGTGTACAGAGCACATACTGTCAATGGGTTTCAGTTTTGGGTGAAGCGTGATTTTTGTGGGCATTGTCCCCTTTTTTTTTATCTAGCCTTGAACTGTTCAGCCTTACTCCTTTCAAACTTCCCTTCTACTTCTTTCTGTTCCTGCTTTTTGATCCCCTTTTCACTGAGGCTTCTCATTTGAGTTGGCCTTCCCTATTCCGCTTTCTATGTCAAAACATCAAGTTACAGGGGAAGGCCCAATAAACCCCTGTAATCATAAAATGAATTGTGTTCACTTAATCTGTGGGAATTACTCCTGTGCAAACTTAAGAGCATGAGGGGGTTAAAGTACGTTTAAACAAATTCAGCGAGAATGGAGTTTTCAGAAATATTAGACAGAAGTTCTAAATTTTAGAAATTTAGAAATCTTAATCAAGTGATAACTTAGTCTGAATGTGCTGAACTGATTTTCTTTCCCTGTCACAACACCTAGCTTCCAGAATGTGTGACTTGGGATGGATTTTCACACAGATTGACAGAAAAACACTTCTGACATAAAATGAGAAAAGCATTATGTCTTTAACATGGACATTCTTATATATATATGAAATTCTTTTATGTCGTAATTTTAAGTGGATGTTCCAATGACATCCATCTTTCCTACATGGAAGAATTATTGTAGACATGGTCATGTTAAAAAGATTCACCCTAAAAAGTTATTTTTGGCAACACTGTAAGCAACTTAAAGCTGACCTTTTAATGAGAAATGTCAGGTGACTTTAGAAAGTGATGCTATGTATAATGTATTATGTTTCTGAATTAATCTCCTCTATATATGAGAATGGCTTTTCAAAACAAAGAAAATCACTCACTGAAGCTTTCTTGGTTTTGTTCTCAGAGTGGTAAAGGCTTTTTTTTTGAGTAAGATTTATTTCCTAAGGGACATCTTTGGAATTATGACTACTTATGAAAGTTGCTAAAGATAAAACGTAACAAACATTTTATTTTAAAACACCTGAATTGTAACGT